AAAAAGACAATCTATAAACGTTTATGAGTAGTCATACAAAAATAATAAAAATTATTTGTTGCTGTTAATATTGTTTCCGTTTAGCAAAACTGTCCTGCTTTTGTGGTAATTACCAGTTTTGAATTTTTGTTTTTTATTTGTTCAAATCGTATTGTCAAAATATCAAATAAATAAAAGCTCAAGCTCCGTTTGAGTTGAATGGCCGATTCGTTTTGGTGGCGGTCATCCTGCTCTGCTGCTGACGCCCCTGCAGCTCACACACCCTTTCGGCTCCACCAGCAGCAGCAGCAGCACTGCAGTGTGAATGTACCTGCGTTGCAGTGGCACTGACAGTGGCAGTGGCATTGTGGCATTGGCGCAGGTGCTCGGCGGCCAAAAAAGATGTGATAAATAAAACTTGCACGATTTGTGATTGCTGAAATTTTTCGCATGCGAATCGTGTACGAGTACGTAAATATGACATTACGTATGCATACGTACTCCACAACTTGACATACGTAATAACTTTATTTTACTCAAATCGCTTGCTGGATAATATAACCGAAATAATAAAAATGCATTTGAAAGGTAAACACTTTGTAGTTGTATTTACATTTATKTATTTTCTCTACGTTTTCAAAGGTATATGGCTAAAAAAACTGTCCATACGGGGGTTGTCTTTTATGGGGCGAGCTTAGATCACAAAAACAAATATTAATCATGACCGATTTTATTATTTTTTCCCAAATTGTTCTCCATAAAGATCTATATGATCCGTTTCGAGATTTCATACTTTGTTAAAGGAAAAACACAGAAACTTCAAATTTAATGGCTAATGCTTACTATCATTCGAAAAAACATTCTTTGGCATTTATGTTTTGAAGATTATTTTTCAAATGTTGGCCGCGGTTAAGTCATACGCGAATGACATACGTGATGTTTTGCTCCAAGACCGAAGCAGGATTGTCAGCATAGACTTTAGACTTTACATATGCCCACAGAAGAAATTCTAACTGTGATTGGTGGCCCATCGACCGGCCCAAAACGTGAAATTATCTGCTCATCGAAGTGTCCTCTTAATAAATCCATTGATTGATGCGATGTGTGGGAAGTGGCGCTGTCTTATTCAAACCATATTTCGCCGAGATCACGAGCTTAAATTTCAGGTAACAATTAGTCGGTTATCATGGCACCATAAATGCCATTGGCAGTTACGTTTTTGCCGGCTTCGTTTTTGAAGAGATATGAATCGATGGCTCCAGCGGCCCACAAACCACACCAAACCGCGGTTTTTTTTTGGGTGAAATTGCAGCTCTTGAATCTTTTCAGGTTGCTCTTCTTCCGAAATGCGGTAATTTTTTCGAATTCTCGATAACGCGGATCTTTTCTTAATTTCTCAAAAAGTCATAGAGCGCAGCGATGTCACTTGGGAAGGTCGAGCGACTTCAGTTTTTGCTGTATCAAATCGACTCTCCACGGTCTTCATGTACAGTCTTAGCTACGGCTTCTCTATTTTCTTCAGTGCGTGCTAGATGTAGTCTCTTCGGTCGACTATTGTTCAATAATTAATGCTGGATCTCAAAATGGGTGATGGCGTGGCGAATAGTACGCTCAGTAGGCCGATTACGTTGATCATAAGTTAAGCGAAGCACGCGAAACACATTATTTACAGGACATGAATTTTCGCAATAAAGTTGAACAATTTGTAAACGTTGTTCATTCGTAAGTCTCTCCATGAGGAAATGCCAAACAATACTGAACAAAAATAACATGACAGTTTGACATGAGTCACGCGTGATCTGTCAAAAAAAAAGGCTATTGAAAAAAGTACCTCTACTTGGATAACCCGTTATATACTTTTGCATGCACTTGCTCCAATTTTCGAAGCACTTTTGACACTCTGTTTGAAGGTACCTACCAAAAATGCGTTCTGAATGCATCAACCGCCTCTTCAGGTGTCGACCTCTCAGTTTATTTTTAACATAAGGTAAAAAAAGGAGTAACTTGTCGATTCATCACCTATCATGATGTCATAGACGTTTTTCAAAGCAACACTACCTTATTTTTCACACATAACTCTCTACCATACGATGCGAGTCTTTTTGAGCGAGTGACAATTTGATGGTTCTTATTAGTTATACTTCGTTTATGACTATAACTTCTGGACTGGAACCGAGTTAGGTTTGGTATTTGTATCAAATTTGGGTTTTTGATTTTTGAGATTTAGAATTCCCTGAATAATATGATTTTTTAAATACTTCTGTACATATATTCGAAGAATGTTGAACAAATTCATGATATGTGATTTTTGTTGGTTAGCGTTTCTACAATTCCTCGTCTATAGCGACTTAATTCCGATATTGGCGGCCTGCATAAGTTGATATTCTCCGAATATAATATTTATATGAGCATACGCACTTATGTAAAAACACCATATATGCATAAGTGCTTTGAGCACTCGTATATGATGTATACCGAGCTTTTTATTTAGCCATGACAGTGTGGGAAGGTCATCGCAAACATGCTCGGCTAATGCGGGACACAATCGCGCGCACCAATGCATGCACAAATAAATGCATAGGCATAAATGAAGATAAATATGCATATATGTTTGCATATACATACTTATGCGTGTATATATGTAAACATATACCTTTATATATATAAATAATAATAATATAGACACCTCATTTTGCTAAATCATGTATGAAGCATGACTCGCTTTTACCTATAAGTTGCCGATTTATTGTTTATACACACTCACTTTTACATATTTACATATATAGGTACACATACGCCTATAAATAAATAAGCACTTAAATACGCATATAAAATCGAAAAAGCTTTCGTTCGAAGCATGTGCGCCTATTCGATATTTCGTATTTTCGTACTAAAACTACCTACTACTAATGTCATCCATACTCGAATGTACATGTGTGTGTGTGTGTTCATGCAAAATTTCGCTTCGTAGTGAGCTTTGAGATCGCCACTCGTAAACACCTTTGTTGAGAATGTTTCGCGAAAAGCATTTAAGTATATACGTACATAAGTACGTATGGATATAGCAAATGTGAATAAGGAAAATAATAATAAAACGCGTTGGAGACCTCATTTTGAATATTTATGTTTCTTACATTCTTTTAAAAAGCAACGCAATTAAAAAATAACTCTAAAACGAATATGTTTATATATAAATGCCTTTCATTTTTATCCTGAAGAGGATACATTAAGTTTTTGCAAGCATATTTCTGTTTCAAATGGTAGTGTGGAAGGGAGACCTTTTACAGCTTTATCGGGTTCGAGGCCGATCTAAAACCTGCGACACCCGGACGCAGTGTGACTCCACAGCGACTTGAATATGTCAATTCTACCTACCTTTGCATTTAGACCTTAGTCACCGCGAATCTCCCCAAAGGATCATTGAAACGAATTCCAAGAGCTAACTACTCCATGTAGCACCACATTTAAGTCTTAGATCAGACCTTGTAGCTTTTTCTACTGTCAGTTGAGCACCCATTAAACTCAATGACGGGTGAAATTTGTCGCTTGAACTTCAAATGTCTTTTTATTAGAAGAAACTCATTCAAAGTCTATAATATCAGTTCAAGCTGAACGTCATAGCACTATTTCTGACAAGACTATGCTGAAATTTCGAGGCAAGCCAAAAAACACTGCAGGCAAATTCTATTCCCTGGGGAAACTTAGAAGGAAACTTCGGGGATCCTATAAAATATGTTTACCAATGATCAACCGGACAAGCTGAGATTCGTCTATCCGAAGAAGCTGTTTATTTGTGGATACTGGCGATATCGGACCACTATAGCATATTATAATCAAAATCAATGGAAATATCTATCTTTTTATAACTATTTATGATTTAAGAAATGTACCTGTTAAGGGTATATTTTTATCCATGTTCAATGTAAATGAATACTTCTGATGCTAGTAATTGGATAAACACAACATTACTGTTTTAACATGACTCCTGTACTAAGTAATTTTAAGTAAGAAATCCCAGAACCTCTCCACGAAGCTCCTAGAACTTGTGTATAATCACTATCGATTTGCGTCTTAATGGAACACAGTTTCTCTCCTGCTGCCCAAAGCTCCGCTACTAGGCAATTGCTTAGTTCAGACGATACAGATTACAGATACAGATACAGAATTCTGTTTACATTTGAGAATCCATCCGACTTGATATGAAACAAATATAAGTATTTCCAAAGCTACCCACACCATGAGTGCTACCAGCAAGACTTGGACCACTCCAATACTTTTTAACCAACAAATTGAGAGTTTTAACTAATTACCATACATATTTTTTTAAGGCTGAACCTGAATTAAGTTTGGAACAAAGTTTTTAGCTAACGCCTAAGAGGAAATTTTGAAGACCCTATAATTATATATATCTACATATATAAATGATCAGCGTCTTTATCTGTCCATTTACATGTTGGTACCGAGTTAAGCTGCTCTTTGTTTAGAACCGCCGACGTTGAACTACTCTGGCATATACTATACAAGAAAAATTTTTTACCTGCAGGAAATTTGCCATGAATTATGGAAGAGAATTTTCAAATCTCCAAAGTAATTGTTTAGATCGGACCATTATGGCATATAGCAAGTTTTTGTTAGAAACCTTTCTTATTTGACAAGGTATCTTCCGTAATTACTTACAGATTAATATCCAACCCAGCGCTACAATCTCCGGTTATATTTTTTTTAGATAGAACTACTATAGAAAAGGACCTTTTATATAGATTAAATAAATAAATGATGATTATTCCGCAACCTAAGGTCTGTTGTGTTCTCTTCTAAGTCACAACGACTCACTTAGCCACAGCATATTGATAAATTCCAATATATACGAACTGACCTATTAAAATCAAGATAAAGATATCTATATACCTTTTATGCTATAGGATTTGCATCTATGTAGAGTACATATATATTTTTTATACAAATCCTAAATATTTCCACAAATAATATATATTGTTTGGTTTTCTTGTTGTGTTTTGCAGTTTTCAATGAGCTCACGTTTCAATGCTGGGTTATATAAACTTCTATAAATGCGTCCCCGAAGAACTAAGGTGGGATTTGTGGATGTTAATGGCAAGACTTTACATATTCATGGAATTCGATGCAAAATAAAAATGCCAATATAGCAGTGTTGAAATTAAAAGAAACCAAATAAAAACAACAAAAACAACTAAAACTTACAATTCCATAAATATTTGGAATAAATCATTTGTTAACAAAACACCAAACTAACCAACGGTATTCGTCGTTAATTTAAAGTGTGCTTTCGCGGTTTTGAAAGGTATGAGCTATGTGTACAGGCGGTTAAGAACGGTTTGCAGTTGTGAAGTCGTTAAACAGAAAAGCGCGCAAGAAAGCACACAAAAAACTTTAAATAATAATTTGTTTCTTTTTAATAAAATACGCAAAGTGTAACCACTCAAAAACGACTGATTAACTGATAATGTATAGAACAGCATTGTAAAATAATATTAAAAATTAAATTAACAAATCGTTATCCAACACTGCCTTTTTACAGAGAAACGAATAACAAAAACTATCTTCGGCGCGTTAAAAATTCGATATTTAATAAGGTGAGTACAACATAATTACAAGCATAATTTTTCCAATCGATATCTTTGTATAAGAATTGCTCAAATTGATTGGAAGCAACAGCTTTTGTGTTCTGAAGTGAGAGTGATTTGGTAGGAAAACATATTTGAAATCAAAAATCTGTTATGCACTTATGTGTGTATGTACATGCCCTCCTAAAGGGTATTTTTTTTTTTGGCCGTGCGGTTTTGAAAGAGTTCGCCCTTTTGACATCTGTTACTTGATTTACACTCAGCTTGGTTTGCCATTTTATAATAAATGGACTGACTCCGGAACAATCTTTGGTACCTGAGCCCAAAACAAGATGTCCATGGCTTCCGATTTTCACAAGAAAGTTTTTTTTTTTTGAAAAATTTACACGGTGTTATTGTAATTGTACGGTTATATAGTTCTCTGTTAGGGTGATAAGGTTCAGATAAGTTGTCATCGACGTAATCCAAGGGTGGCCTCAGGAAACGTGCTGTTTCGCCCTTTCGGACCATGGGGTAAGGGTTGTTAGATTTGTAGGGTTAGTTAGGTATACAAAGAGGTGGTTAGTGTCATGCGGGGACTCGTGCATGCTGGACATATATTTGATAAGTCAGTGTCGATTTGGGATAAGTAGGAATTTAACCTGCTACAGTATCCAGAACGAAGCTACGCAGGATCACTCTTGATTCTCGTGTCAACACGAGCTCGTCGTCTGCAATGGGTGGAGTTTTGACTTCAAGTACGCCAAGTACGTGTTTATGGCTTCACGGTAAATAGCGGTCAGTGTATGTCTGAAGTTATTTGCGTCCGAAGTTAGGTCGGCGTATTGTCTTATGACTGCAGGAATTATATCTACGAAATTCCGGAGTGCAGTGTTCTGACATGTCTGAAGCTTTTCGTTTGTGTTTCAGAGCATCCACGCATGAAGCTAGTCATAATGTTGAAGGCATTGGTGAACGTCAAAAACTCATGATTAATGACTTTTTTGTGCTTAAATTGGTGGAAGTTGATGTGGACGAGCTTTGGTTTCAACAAGACGATACTGCATGCCTTCGAGCCAATGATACAATGAATTTGTTGAGGGAAATTTTTGGTTATCGCATTATTTCAAGTCGTGGGTCTTTTGCTTGGCCGCCAGGATGTTCGATTTAGCACCGCTGAACAATGTTTTTGAGTTTATGAACGCCGTGGTCATTTGTCCGAAATTGTTTTGAGAACATAATGTCAAACCCAATACAGGGCACTGCAGGCACAAGAAGCACTTGTCCAACATGGACGATGTCTCTTGCGCAAACTACCCTTTTTGCGACATGGAACAGGAAACTCCAGAATACCTGATTCTAGATTGCGGTTCAAGACCCAAGATTTCATCTACGTGAAGAAGGATCAGCTCACCTCAGAGTGCGTGACCTTCGTGACCATAGCAGAGAACACAATAGACCATTGGTCGCTGTGCAAAGCCTCAATTTTCTGTCTATCTATCTATCTAATACCAAACCCTTATCTTTAAAAGAAAGCTAAAATATGGGCGCTAACCGCGCATTTATATGCATTTTGTTTTTGCTTGAAAATCAGACGTCTAAAAAAGCACAATTCATTAACATTTGACTGCCTATGTTGTTCTTATGTTCAACTGAGTATTAAGGCCTTCACATTGAGGCGCGGACCTACTCTTACATAACACTTGCTATGTTTTCATGTAGTGGCTGTGCGACCGTTGTGTTCAAGGATGAGGCGAAATGCACCTTTTGTAGCAATGCCATCGCTATTGACATGCGCATTGGGGATTTTCAAGTGCAAGCTAAGGTTCAAACTCGTCTGCCTTTGTTTTAGTTGTTATGGTATTAATTTTTGCTGTGGCAACTCGCCTTGAATGTCAAAATGTTAAAAATCGTATGAAATTCTAAAATTTGTAGCTAATAAAATAATATTAAATAATTTATGCAGCTTTAGAAAATGTATGAGAAAAGCCTTGAAGAGTAGCACTCAAGTTATTCTTAACATTCTCTGCTGTTCGCTTTTCTGCAATGTTTTACCGCTACAAACATACATACATATGTATGTATATAGACAAGTTTTCTTGTGTATCTTCTGTATGGGTCTGACTGCGGTTGAAAGGGAAATGTTTGATTTCGCTATTCAAACAGCCCGAGCCCACTCTTCGCTTTTCCCGATTCACTGCCATTTCACATTTTCCTTATTCACCATTATTATGACAAGTTTTCCTTCGACAAGATTCGTTTTTCCAACCGAGCTCTAGTGTATTGTACGGTAGTAGAAAGATCGGTTCAAAGAAACTACATGCATCAAAACTGGAAATTGTGAATTTTCCAATAGCTAAATGACTAAACTGTATTACAAGAGTTTGTAGGTAAAGCACACAAAAACACATACATACATACATATAATATAAACCTATGTAAGTGCTTATGCACATACTTGGTTATGTTTGTCCAACGATTGAGTAACAAAATGAAAACTAGTTCCCGCCGGCAAATTGGCAACCAACTGCCAAACATAAACAGCGGCAAGCAAAAACAGCAAATTAGAAATGTGACCATAGTCGCGGTCGCCACTGCCATAACTTCGTGACAAATATTATTGCCAACCTTGACGAAATCAGTCTTTTCTGAATGGGGTTTCCCAGAGAAAGTATTAGTTATAAGCCTTACCATGATGAAAATATCGTTAATAAAATATTTAACCGCATCGAGATTGTTCTTGTGTATAGCCAACGTTATTGGTATTTGGACGCTGAACAGAGTACATTAAGTTTGTCACGAAGTTTCTCACACAAGGAAGGAAACGTCGGCGACTATATAAAAATATATATATATATAAACGATTCGATTAAGCCATGTACGTCTTTCTGTATATACGCGAACTACTCCCGCAGTCTTCGAAAATTCTGCTCCCGTTATTTTCTCACCAAGATGTTGCTCCTTTGTCGAAACCATCGATTTCGGACCAGTAATCCAGACATTTTTCATAAGCACTTTTTAGAATGATCTTCAGCTCCTTCAGCATATTTGGTTCTATCTTTCCGATCGACTGAAGACGGATTCCAAGGAGCGGCAATTTCAGTTTGGGGAACCAGAAATAATCACACAAAGCCAAATCTGGCGAACACAGCGGTTGATCTATGGTATTCATTGCGTTTTTTGCTTTAAATTCGATCACAATCGTGGCACCATGCGATGGGGCATTATCATTATGTAAAATCCATGAATTGTTTTTCTAGAATTCCGTCCGTTTTCCACGGATGTCCTCATGAAAAAGCCTCAACATGTTCAAATAGAACTTCTTATTGAGCGTCTGTTAATCTGGAATGAATTAATGATGCACCAAAGCACAAATATCGAAAAATATTAGCATTCCGTTGATTTCTAAGTGGTGTTTTTGCATAGTTTTTTTTGGTTTCGGTTCGGTTTTTTCCTTCCTTTCCGATGATGGTTGACTAGTTTGCAAGTTGAAGTCATAAAACCCCATCTCATGGGCAGTTATAATGCCGTCCATGAATATGGGATCGGAATTCGTACGATCAAGCATGTCCAAAGAGACAGCTTTATCGAGACGAGTCGAGCAAAAACGCGTTCCATACCCCAAAGCATCCACCCATCAGAAGGTCGTCCAGAACGAGACTTGTCTTCAACGATCTTTCGACCGTCTTTGAAGGCTTCCTACCTTTCAATAGTTGTAAGAGTTCTTACTAAATACTGTACGATCGGTATTCACGCAGTAAGCTGGAGGACCTTATCGACTGCCAGCTGAGATAAATAACCTCAACACGTTTTCTTCGCATGTTTTACTTTTGTCAGATCAGACCAAGCAAAAACAGCTCCGATCTCATACCTTTACACATCCAGGTGAAATAGCAGAAATAGAAATAAATAACCTAAGCAGTTTTGTGATAAATTCATGGCCGTTACCGGATATCCAACTACAGCGGTGTTTTCCTATGACTTCAAGACAAGGAAAAAGACGGTACGTAACGGTCTAAGTGTGTTCCTTCGTCTCGACCTCGTAGGGAACATCAATCTAACCTAACTTTACCTAACCTATGTGCAAGGAAACAAGCTGTTCATATACCGGAACCGCCGATATCACAGACCGCTACAGTCATAAAAACTGACGATATCTTCACAAAATATGGTGCGGATAATTTTCCAAAGCGATGATACAATCTCTAAACAAACTTTTCAATCGTAGGCCTATAGCATATAGCAAGAATTATTTTTCAACGGAAAGGTACAATCTCCTAAGAAATTGTTCAGATCGAATTACTATATCGAATAGCTATCATACAAACTGATCGACCAAAGTACAGTGCTTGTAAGGAAAACTATTCTGTTTGACGAGATATGACGAAATTTGGCGAGAATTATTGTCCAAAGCTAGGATACCATTTTCGAAGAAATTATTCGAAGATATTATACTCACTACTTGACTACTATAGTCAAGATAACGATCTCTTTTTACCCCTTTACGCTATAAAAAAATACACTTGTGAACGGTATTATAGTTTCGGTGCAGTCGAAGAACGTTTCTGCCTGTTGTTCACTGTCTCCAACAATTAACCTTTGAACAATTAGTGATTAAAAGCACACAAATCGCCTTCTAAGGAAAGCTAATTCGGCGAGTGCTACTTTAATATCCGTAGAACACAAATACCAGCATATTCTGAATATCAGTGAATCGCTTAGCAAAAAATTATGATAAGGTTTGAAACTTTATTCCCAGACTACTTGTAGGTTTATACGCTCAAACAAATGTACTTACATTGGTGTGAACAATTTGAGCGTCCTCTCTATGTTATTATTATTTAACTCCAAAAACTTTTTCTACAAAAAAAAAAAATTGTGTAATCGCCATAAATGTGGTATAAAATAAGTAATAAGTATTTCACAATATGTTGGCAACATTATCACATTGTCGGTGTGCAGCCCGTTGGCAGACGAACTGCAATGCAATGGAGAAGAAGACTGGTATTGCTTTATGCGCACATATTGGT